TGATTTTTCTCTTTTCATTTTAATTATCCCTATTTATATGGGTCATGGGTACATGGGTTAATTCCTTATTTTCCACTAAGTCCACTCCTTATTGTGCCATGTGTCACGTTTTTATTTTAAACTGCCAAGGAAATTTTATTCTCCTTAATCACACTCTCCCCAAGAAAAACGGACACCACTTCTTCACCTTCTCCACTTCAATTTTTTTCTTTCTTCTTCAGCAAAAATTAGGGCTTATAAATTTCGTGCTTCTTCTCACAAAATTCACACTCAAAAATCAAAAGCACAAAGAAGCAATTTTACTTTATCTACTGTATCATGGCATCCCCACCTAGAAATCCTCCTCCAGCCGTCGATGGTGATGTCCACAACGATGCTGCAGCACCTGTACCAGCAGACCCAAATCTGGCCATCATCGTTCATCCAATCAACTTTGAAGCTGTTCCTATCAGCTACATTGAGCCCGGCGACGAGCTGAACCCGATTGACCCAGACAACTTTGATTTTGTGGGTCCCTCTTCCACCGCCGGAAGATTTCCAACGCGCCGGTCAAAGCGCACGAACCCTTTTCCAGATCTGAACACTGCGGTGCCACAACGCCGAAGAGGAGAAAACTCTCCCCGGAGAGGAAGCAGAGGTGGAAGAAGAGGAAGCAGAGGTGGCCGTACTCCAGTCCAGTCAAACCCACGAAGAGGTCTTCATCTGGTAGATGAAGAAACTGATGACGAAGCAGGGGATCCTACCTTTGCTGCACCACAGGCTCAAGCCTTGTCTTCCAGCTCCTCTGAGTCTTCATCCAACAACTCACAGGCTCAAGCCTTGTCCTCCAGCTCCTCTGAGTCTTCATCCAACAACTCACCTTCCCCAGCATCAACTCAGGGGGAGACGTCACAGCCCAGCATGGCAACAGCAGCCTCTCAACATTCAGTTCCTGAAAGTGTTGCTGCACCTAGTTCAGAAGGTGTTGCTGCACCTGTCTCTGAAGGTGTTGCTGCACATGCTCCAGAAGATGCTGCTGCACCTACTGTTTCAGCAAATGTTCCTCAGAATGCTACTGAGGATGCTGCCCCTTATCAGGATGAAGAAATGCCTGATTTCTCTGGAATGTCATCAGCAGAGCATGTAGACATTCCATTTGTCGATGCTCAGGAGTTCACCACTACAGAAGAAACTCCATCAGCACCTCAGGGAGATCCTCTGGAAACCCTGGCAGAAGCAGCAGCTCAAGCAGATACAATTCCTCCTCAGGCTGAAGAATCAGAGAAAAGTGAAGACAGTTGGGAGGTTCCACTAGCTACTTTTCGCAAAAACTTGTCCTCTTCTGATTCCGACAGTGAATCCTCTGAAGACTCTTCTCAGCAGGAAGAAGGTGTTGCCCCACGTGCTGCATCACCTGAACCAGCATATGTCCCTGATGAGCTTGAAGATTCAGAAGATGATGATTCCTCAGAAGAAGAAGAACCAGACCTGAATGGGAAGAACTTGTCAACCCCTTTTGAGGTAACAAATGCCTTCAGTCCTAATTTCTATTTTGAGTCTGATTCACTGTTGAGTCCTCAAGTCATGAATTGTCATTTCATTGAGGAAAAGAAAATCTCTAAGGAAGAATTTGATAGGCATAGGATAACAGCTTTTCTTCACCAAAGAAAAATCCTTAACCTAGTTGAGATTGCCTGCTCTTATGATCCCTTGGTTGTGAAAGAGTTTTATGCCAATTTGCAAACCTCATTTTTAAAGAAAAACTCTCCAAACTTTGGCAAAGTTTTTGTGCGCAATGCCATTTATTCTTTTTCTCCCAAAGTTATCAACTCTCATTTACAAACTCCTACTGTGATTGATGAGGATAATTATGGTGATTTTACTGAGATTTGCAAAGTTATTTCTGGAAACCGTTTAAGAAATTGGCCTGCACACCCAAGAAAATTTCAAGTCTCTCAACTCACTGCTTTCTACTCTGTCCTGTTTAGACTCACAGTGGCTAATTGGATTCCATCCAAAAATGTCTCTGTGGTAACTAAGCCTCATGCTGTACTCATGTACAAATTGGTGATGGGTTTACCAGTGGATTTTGGCAAACTGTTCTTTGATACTATTGGTCATCTTGCCCAGAAAATTTCACCCTCCACTCACCTCCCCTATCCTTCTCTCATCTATTCCATCTTACTCTCTCAAAACTTGGGCCAAGATGACTCAGAATATCTTCACACCCCACAAGGCATGATCACTGTGTCTCAAAATTTTCTGAGGGCTCCTCATGTTCAAGATCTTCCCTGGAATGGAGATGATTTTCTCTCAACTGAATCAGGTCAAAATACCATTGGTACTGAGGGTGTTGCACCTCATGTTGACAACACTTCTAACCTTCTTGTGTCTGTTCCTAGAGATCTTCTATTGCAGCAGCTTACTCATTCTCTAGCTCAGATTACCTATCATCAGTCCATGGTGGAGCTGATTCAGAAGGCTCTTTCTGATCAAAAAGGGGGAGAAAAAGATCATGAAACTGAAGCAGGAACATCTCATCCTTTGGATGCTAGAGGCAGAGAGCAAGGAGTCAATGAAGAGGAAGCAAAGAAAGAGGGGGAAGCTCAAGAAGAAAGCAGTGGATCTAGTGATGGAGGAGGAGCAGCAGCTGAAACTGAGGAGACCTTGGAGACTTTGGATATTTTACTTTAGATTGTTTTCATGAACAATATTTTTGCTTGTGTTTTGTTTATTTTCCCTCTGAACTTTTGTTTAGGACTGCACTTTGATTATTTCTTTTGTTGAACTATCTTGCTGAATTTGGTTTTAATTTATTGTTTCTATGTTTTTCAAATGGTATCAAATTCAGGGGGAGTTCAAGCAATATCTCAGGGGGAGTCTTTGACTAAGATTTAGTTTTGATCAGAAAGTTAAAAAGGGGGAGTTTGAAACACGTGAATTAATTTCACAATGTGTTTTTAACTTTTCTTAATTTCTAAACTAAATCTTAGTTAGTGGGCTTAGTAGGGTTAAGTAGTGCTTAGTGGATTTAATTATGGGATTTATCTTAACTTCCTAACTAACCCACTAACCCATTATCTTGAGTGCTCTTGTGGTTGGTTTTCTTGCAGATCATGGGCTGAAGAGTGGAAGCTTGGCAAGTCTATAAATACCAAACTCAAGACTCAAGATTATGACAGATTTCGAGGAAAACAAAAAATAGAGCTGAAGTTTTAATCTCGAGAATTTTAGTGTGTTTTCTAGGATCTGTTGTACGTACTATTTATAAGTACATTCTTTGAAATCTAGAATTTTTGATATCTTTCTTTTAGTATCTAGATTTGGTTGTAAGAGTGATCTTGAAAAAGATTCACTCATAAGGAAGAAGTTTTCGCACTCTTCTGTTTGTATTCTTGGAATACTGATTTTAATATATTTTTCCGTCCTGTAAAGGACAAGTTCACAAGTCTTTACTTGTGAACATTTTTAACTCTGAGTATTGTCCTTTAATCTTTATATTTCCGCTGCATGTTGTCTCAAGTGTCATAACATTTTAGATAACATCTCTGTATAATACGAATTCGGGACCATAAATTCTTTCACCACCTACAATTCAAAATTATATTAACCGACTAAAATATATTAAATAAATTATTACATACAATAATCGATTACTAAAATTAATGTCAGAACCAAAAACATACAAACATCGAATTCAAATATCAAAACCAAGTTAGAGGATGGATTGATAGTGGCAGAACAAAGAAGCACACCCGCCTCATGCCCCAAGCCCAACTAAATGTAACAAAAAATGGAATTAATAAACAAATTCAAAAATGGACCACCGTCCGCCTCGCCACGTCCACCTCCGTTGGTGCCGCCTTCTTCAACCGTCCCCTCCGCCTACGGCTCCAGATCCGTGGTTGTTTTGGCTTCGTTGTTGTGGTGGTGATGCCAGTTACGGTGGTTCTTCATTTTGATAAATTATTTTTTCACCTAATTAATTAGTTCGTTGATCATTACTAATGCAATATATGTTGAACTACATTGCATCAAAAGCTAAAAAAAGTATTGCTCTTTTGTTGAAATACATTGTTCTTAATGGTTCTCAATAAACAACTTTTTGTGTGAGATTTTTATTTTTATTTTCTTGCGTATTCCACCAATATTGTCTAATCTATGCTTTTCAAAAGTTATATTTATAATATTTATAAAAGTATATTTTTATTTGGGAAAATTACAGTTTTCATCCCTCAAGTTTGTACCAATTTCACATTTGGTCTCCCATGTTCACAAAAAATACATTTGGTCCCTCAAGTTCCAATGATTTAATATTTTGTGTCATTTTCGTCAATTTACCGTTAGTTTGTTAATTAAGCCAATGATGAGCACCCACCTGATTCCATTAGTTCTAACGGGAAACTGACGAAAAGGACTAAAAGTGTTGAATATTCGCAACATAAGGGACCAAATGTGTTTTTGTGAACATGAGGGACCAAATGCGAAATCGGTGCAAATTTGAGGGACATAAACTATATTTTTTTCCATTTTTATTTATATTATTTCAATTAATTTTTTTAAACATTTATTTATTTTGTATTTGCATTTTTTTTTAGATACATCTAAAGAAAATGAAGAACACTCTTCCCAACCCTCGTCAACATTTAGTTCACCTCGGTTTTGTCCAATTTAAGAGAGCTCGGTTCGTGTAACAAAATTACTTGTTTTTATCTCTCGAGTTTACACCGACTTCATATTTGGTCGTTCACGTTCACAAAAACCACATTTGATCCATCATGTTTCAATAACTTAACACTGCAGTGTTGGTCATTTCAGTGATGAAAACACGCTTGATTCCCTTAGCAGTTAGCACTAACGGAAAAAATGATGGTAAGGAATAATAGTGTTTAATTTTTGAAACATGATGGACCAAATATATATTTTGTGAACATGATGGGACCAAATATGTAATCAGTGCAAACCTAAGGGGTGAAAACTGTATTTATCTCAAATATCACATTTCCTCATTTTTCAGTTTCAACTCTTCTCTCTCTAGATCATCATCATTTTTCCCATCTCTCTCTCTCTCTCTCTCTCTCTCTCTCTCTCTAGATCTTTTTTTTTCTCAGAATTTCAGAAGCTCCATTACATCAAAAATGGCGCGAGGAACTCTTGAAGTCCTTCTTGTCGGAGCTAAAGGCCTCGAGAACACTGATTTTCTCAGTAATTATTTATTTTTTTCCTAAAATTTTATGAAAAAAATCTTGATTTGTGATTAACCCATAATTCAGTACCGATCAGAATTAATTGTTAATCTAACATAATTCGATGATAATTGATCTTCAGGTAATATGGATCCATATGCGATAATCACTTGCCGTACACAGGAGCACAAAAGCAGCGTTGCATCAGGTTTATACATTTCAGATCTTGTATTGTTTGATCAACATTGCCTCATTTTATTTTATATTTTTATTTAATTTTTTTTTTTTTTTGCAGGAAAGGGAAGTGATCCGGAATGGAACGAGACTTTCGTGTTTACGGTTTCCGACGATGTTCCGGAACTTTTAATCAAGCTACTCGACAGCGATGGCGTTTCGGCCGATGATTTTGTCGGAGAGGCCAAGTGAGTAATTCTTGTTGATTGTGTATGAAATGCAAGGATAAATGATTAGAGCTTGTTTGGATGAATTATGCAAAACCTTTAGTTCTTAATAAATTAATCAAACTAGTTCTTGAATTATTGTAGTGAATTTGAAATTTTTTAGGTCCGATGATGGTTTGGTTGATAGTGAGATTTAGAAAATCGGATTATTCTAATCGAAAGAGGGTCTTAATATAGATTCATTTGAAATCTTTCGATCCATACGCATGTTTAAAGGGTACGGGGGAAATGAATTAGTAAACTACCGAAGAGTCGAAGAAATGATTTTCGAAGATGTAATAGTTAACAATGAAGTTTTTCTATTCAAACAAAATGGTTTCATAGGTTGTTCTCGGGGGAAAATTACAGGTTTCAACCCTCAAGTTTGCACCGATTTTACATTTGGTCCCCCATGTTCACAAAAAACACATTTAGTCCTTCATGTTTCAAACAATTTAACACTTTTGGTCATTTCCTTCAATTTACAGTTAGTTCGTCAGTTAAGACAGACATGGACACATGCTTGATTCTGTTAGTACTTACGGAAAATTGACAGGAAGGACTACAAGTGTTGAACTTTTGAAACATAAAGGGCCAAATGTATTTTGTTGTGAACATGGAGGATCAATTGTGAAATCGGTGCAAACCAGAGGGATGAAAACTTTATTTTTCCCGTTGTTCTTGTTTCTCTTAGAAAAGTTGTCACATGTATGCAAAATCGGAAAATTTGCGATTTTGATTAGGATATTATTGCAATACCAAAAACACAAGTAGAAAATCACTAATGACAAAAAACTAGAACAACACGTAAAATCATTTTCTTGAAACAATTATTTGCAGAATTCCACTCGAGCCGTTGTTTCTAGAAGGAAGTGTGCCACCCATGTCGTACAATGTTGTTAAGGATGAGGAGTACTGTGGTGAAATCAAAATCGGGCTGAAATTCACTCGTGAGGCAAGTAAACTAGTCCATATTTAATTCGTCTTTATTATTTATTTATTTTTTTTTTTTTATTTTTTTTTTGTGCGAGTGAAATTTATATCGAGAGATTGAAAAAAAATTGTTATATTTTCTATTATTACAGAGGCGCTGCGAGAGAGGATTTGGTGAAGAAGAAGAAAGCTATGGTGGATGGAAAGAGTCTTCGTACTGAAGTTGATTCTATTAAAGCATATTCTATCAGCCATTTCTGATTTTATTTCGACTTTTTTCGATTTTTCGATTTATGTGAACTGCATTGGTTTTAAATGATCCAAATATTGAAAGACATTGAGTTAATTGATTTGTGATTGTGGTCCTTGTGCTGAAATCTAGTTTTGTTTTGATATAATGATATGTTTGTGGGAAAATTACTGTTTGTGTCCCTCAAGCTTGCACTGGTTTCACATTTGGTCCCACTATATTCAAGATAAACACATTTGGTCCCTCTTGATTCAACTACTTGACATTTTTTGTCATTTCTGTTAATTTCCCGTTTGTCCGTCAGTTAAGAGAGTTACTGACACATGTTTGATTACGTTAGTACTAATGAAAATGACCGAACGTGCTAAACTATTGAAACATGAGGGATTAAATCTGGTTTTTATGAACATGGGGGACCAAATGTAAAATTGAGGTAAACCTGAGGGACGAAAAGTGTAACTTTTCCATATGTTTGTACTTGGCAAAGAAACTTGAATCTAGTGCTCTAGTAAAATACTAAAATGTCAAGCTTTTGTTTTCTTTAGACAAAATACTATTTAAAAATCTGCAATGAACTATGTAGCACAGAAATTTCAACTTCATAATATTTTCGCGTTTCGGACATATTTCGTGTCTGACACTTGATGACACTTGTCGGACATCTTATGAGTCATTTGGCAATTTCTAAAAAGTAAGAAATACATTTGAATAGCAAATTTTCAAATATTTCTGTTACTTCCCTAATTATTTACATGGCGTAATGATCAAGTGCAAACTAATAGTTGATAGGAAATTTTATTTTGAATATGTTTGTATGAACATATATAAAAAGAATTTATATATAAATAAAATCTTATATATGTTTATAAAGCATTTTACAGATATACCCCTATACTCTTAATATATACACATTTCACCAAGCTCCTGTATCTCCAATATGAGCATGAAATGTAATTGTTTTCCTTATGAAGAACAATGATATGCTCCAATTTAGAAAGCATCATCATTTCATCATAAACATTTTCATTTAGAAACCACCTGCTGAATCATAATTTTTTTAAAGAAAATAAATAAATAAATAACCGAACAACATAATAAAAAAAAAAAAAGGCTTCATCGGCCTTCGAAAAAAAAAATTCCAAAAAGTGTACCAAACACAACTTAGTCTTTTTTCGAAACAAACGAAAGGATTCGGTTTTTCGACAATGGAGAAGAAAGATTCTAAGCCCTTATAACCTAAACAATCTAAACACATTGCCCTAAAACTCCTCCACCATCAAAAGTACAAATTAATGTCAACCAACCAAAATAAAATAAAATAAAATAAAATAACAGAAATACCACTTCACTCTAACCCTAGATAATTCAGCATCAGTTTCTGCACCATATGTCCATTTTTCAAGATTCTTTTTTTTTTTTTCTTTCAATTTCTTTCAAGGGTTAAATTTCGCAGGCCAATCCCTTTTCACAACGTTTCCCTGAGCGAAGAACGAATTTGAATTTCCTGGCAATTGGTCAGCAGCAGCAGCACCGTTTTGCTTCGAAGAGGATTCCGAACGAGGGGCGAATTCGTCCTGAAAAAAGACCGGTGCAGCATCCGATTGAGACGACGATCTCACCCCTCCATTTGCCTGATTATTATTATTAGTAGTAGTATTAAAATTAACGTTATTCTGAAACCCGAATCCGCCCGCAAACGCCAGCGTATCCTCGATCGGTATATCACCCCTGAGCGTCTTCAATGCGAATTCAAGAGGGTCCGACCAAGAATCACCAAAGTCGTACAAAAGCTGCGATTCTTGCGATTTATTATTAGCCCCCTCGCCTATTATTATTTGCTCTTCTTGAATAATAGCTGGTACTTCTTTGGGAGGAGCCCTTTCGTTTACGACTGCGTTCATTGGTTTGATTTCTTGACGGGTTTCCGCCCCCTTTAGTGCTTCCACTTTGGGCTCGTTTGCTTCCACTACGTCGGCAGATGGCTCGAGGGGTAAAATGGGAATTTCGCTCGTAGAGGATCTTCCAGAACGTTCGCTCGGAACTGAGTTGGATTCAGGTTTGCACTTTGCGAGTCTTTTGGAAGTTCGTGACGGAGGCGAGCTAAAGTTCCTTCTTTTCTTCAATTTCTTGGGTTCGTTTACGGTTGTAACTTCGTTTTCTGGTTCAGAGTTATTTTCCATGTCAGCATTCTTTCTTTTTTAAAATGGAATTTTATACGCAGGGGAAAAAAGAAATCTTTGGGGCAATTCGAATTGTTACCTTGCGTCTCTTTAGAGATCTTGGCATCTGATTCTGCTCGATTTTTTGTAGTGGTGGAATCTTCTTCACCTACTGCAGACAAAGTTGATTGTCAAATCGAAGCAAATTTGTGTAAGGACTAAAAAAGAAATGAAATTTTATAAACGCAAGAAAATATATTCAATAAAAACAATATTTGGGACTATCGGAATTGTTACCTTGCGTCCCTTTCGAGATCTTGGCATCAGATTCTGCTCGGGTTTTTACAGAGGCAGAACCTTCTTCGCCTACAGCAGAAAAGTTGATTTTTAATCTTCGCCTACGGCAGAAAACCTCTAACTTGTTTGAATCCCGAAATAGTTAGTTTATTTAAATTAATTCATATTACCGTTTAATTCTCCACCGAGAACGAGCCCCGTTTTGTGCTCGGGTGGATTCCCATTAGCTGGATTTGAAGACTGCAAACGTAAAACAGACATTTCAGATAACTAACATAGCCAATTAAAGAAATGCAACAATTTCGAGAGCGCGCATATTGCTTTAAGGTAAATTACAACAACCCCTGAGGGAAGGATAAATTACGAAAAAACCCATCTTGTGTACGAGGAGTGTGGAGTGCAATAGAAGGAAAATTTTACGTAACATAATCGGACTATCATAAATGAATGCTAGTGTTCGACACTTGACACTTAACCCGCCCGATTCAAGCAATAAATAGAAATGGAAGAAACATAAATATCATTATATATCTTCATTCCGACACATTCACGATATATCTACGTTGATTATAAGAAAACATATTTAGCACTACATCAACTTAGAGAGTAACTAAATTTGCAAAAGATCGAGCCTTTTTCTTGAAATGCATATTAAATATCATGAAAAATGGAATAATATACATAAGAAAAAAATGGAGCAACAATTATATATATACATACATTGCTTACAGGGATTTCATTCTCAATGAACTTGCGATCATCGAACTCGTCCTTTTTCTTTGGTCTGCAAGCACAGCTATTTATATTGTTGGTTGTCAGATACCGCTCGACATCTAATTTAGAACGAAATACATAACCGCTGACTGGATCTGTGTAATACTGCATAAACAAAAAAATAAACAAAACAATAAGCAAAAAAAAAAGGGAGAGAGAGAGAATCGGAATCCTTGTACAAACAAAAAAAGTAAAAAAAAAAAAGAGATTAATTACGATTAATTACCGGATCTTTTCTAATCTTATTCCCAAATTTACTCGTAACGATTTCTTTAATCCAGCCTGGCGGCAGGTCATCAGCTGCCACGGTCTCACATGCAACCTAGAGAATCTCAAGAAAAATGTGAGAAGCTAAATTATAATGCGATGGGTTCGGAAACTAGCATTTAGTATATACAAACCGTTTTGTAAGCGCTTCCTTTCCTTTTCTTTTCCGAAGCGGGTCCCACATTTGTCATGGATAGGGGTTCCGGAGAGATGTCTTTATTATCCGAAGTGGGGCCCACATTTGTCGCGGATACAGGTTTTGGAGAGATGTCTTTATTTTCTGGAGTGGGGCCCACATTTGTCGTGGATACGGGTTGTTTTGGAGATATGTTTGTAACGGTTTCGTCCACATCATCAAGCTGCAAAAAGGTAAGCGTCGACAAAATAAAAGAACAAAGATTCGTCTTAGAATAATAAGTGACTAAGTTTCAAATATAGAGTTGACGGCATCATATCGAGTTCAAATAACGAGCATAAAGCGACACATAAGGACTTAAATTCACATTCTTTTTTGGTACGTACTTTATTTTGATCCACAGAACTCAAATATCGACTCACAGCTGCCTTTGAATAGTATTTGTTTCCAGTCGACAAATCGGTATAAACCTGCAAGAATATAAAGAAATAATTACGATAATAAATCGTTTTTGCACTTTTATTGAAGCCTTTATTTATTTATTTAATTACATACCTTGTATGATCCACTGCTACTCTTTCGACGTCTTTCCTCGATTTTCCAACCATTAGGCAACCCTTCAGCAGAACCATTTGTTGTAGCTAATATCTGCTAACCGTAAAATATAACATATATAAGCCGATATATATATATATATATATATATATATATATATATATATATATATATAGGTTCGTTAACTCTGAAAAAAAGAACTCACAGCATCGACTTTATTATTAGAGGAGATCCCGTTTTCGTCTTGATTTGTAGTTTGAGGTGTACTGAGGGTATTTTCAGATTTGGCGCAATTCAAGACGTCTTTCTTGGAATGATATTTTACACCCGTCGCCGCATTTTGGTAGTACTGCAAGAATTCAGACACAAATAAATATGAATCAGTGATCAATTATTATCTCGACCCTAAGCATTATGTATATGCGACACGTGTAAGAATGCATGGCGTAACCGTTATTTTAACGAACCCTATCATGATTTTCACAGTCTTCGATGAGTGAGTTAAAACACGACACAAACCAACTCCAAACAATTGCAAAAATGCCACTCCTCATGCAATCTCGACATAAAGAATCGAAACAAGAAACGACAAGGGGTTCGGTACATACATTATACAACACAATCAAGCCATAAATAATTCAATTAATTACTAATACCACCACCCATTTATCTAGTTTATTAAGCCAACAAACTTAAAGATTTATACAACCCGACAAAAATCGGACATCAACTTCAAATCGTATCGCATCACCTTATTCCAATGCATCGAACAAAAAATGTTTACACAAGCAGCCCCTCAAAGATTTATACAACCCGACAAAAATCGGACATGAACTTCAAATCATATCGCATCAACCTATTTCAATGCATCGAATGAAAAATGTACACACAAGCCGCCATAATCGATGTCGATCCACCGAGATTTGCTGTGTAAAAAAAAATTCTTTTTTTTTTTTTTAAATTAAGGCTATGAAATAGAAATCAAACCAACCATTCTCTTTCAATTTCAACATGCAGCAACATTCACATGAAGAATTCAATGCACAACATTTGTTTCCAAGATTAACGCCCAAAATCAAGATTCATTTTTAATTTTTTTTTAATTCTACTCCTCATCTCAATAGGGCAATCAATTTTTCCCCCAAACATAAAATTGAAAAAAAAAATGATAACTTGCTAAACTATTTTTTTTCAAACAAAAATCAAAATCACACACACACACACACACACACACACACACACACAAACACACACTCAATTACCTTAATTTTCTTGCCGTCTTTGTACTTAAACTTCTCGGAAAAGCCAGGAGGAAGCCACTCCGGCGACTTTCCGTCAACCATTCCGCCGGATTTCAACGAATCACACAACCCCAGAAACTGAAAAAAAATTCTCTGATTTTTTTTTATTTCAAGAAATTGGGGTCAAGATTTTGTTTTTCAGAGGAAAATGAAACGGCTTTATAAAGGGGGTCGAAATTAACGAGGTGGGTCGGCTGGAAAATATTTTTTGAAGGTTTTCGGCAACACGTGTTCGCATATATTTGTGTGCTACTGTTGGAGCTGAGTGTGAAAAATCCTACTCTGACTTCATTTTTCTCTTTTCTGCAAGTGGTATTTTAATATATTTATTTATTGTGGGCGTTTTAGAGAGAGAAAGTGAAGAAATTAAAAAGGAAAAAAGTTTGAGAAATGGGATTTCTTGATTTAGTAGTAAGAGTAAGAGATTAATTGCAGGGATTGACGATTTCATATGTGGTCAGAGATTGTGCGCAGCTTTGCTATTTTGTCTAAATGTGTTTGAAAATTAGGGTTTTGTAATTTTTCTTAGGACATAACACTGAATTTAATGAATCTTTTTGGCTTTGGATTGTTAGTCAATTATTTTTCAAATCTTGGTTTTTGAATTTGCATTTCTTTTTATGATTTGGAGGTAAAAAAAATATATCGCCACCATATACACTATTTAATGATCAGCATATCGAAAAAAAAAATTCACGTAGTCGAAGACAAAGCAACCGTTTTCGGGACAATATAAAGGAGAAAAAAAACGAGTAAGAAAGTCGAAGACGGAAAGATAATTATTCACATTGTACATGTGATCACCATATATAATAGCTATGGGAATACGTAGAAGTTGTCGAGCGGATTTTGAAAGTACGTACTATAAAGGATATTAAACGAATGCGCGAGGAGTTTGAAAAGTTTCGAGTCGGAACACATATTCAAGAAAAGGGAATCGGACAAATCCCGAAATAGTATCTTTTGTCAAAATTACATGGTTCTCATAGTTTAATATCGAAATCTCAGTGTTTATCCGGTATGTAACGTCATGGAACTTTCATTTCACGGTATTATTTCTAAGTGGTGAAGAAAGAAAAAATCGACGAAGTACATCAATTGTTTCATAGTACTATAGCCCAACCATTGGCTAAAAATAGAAGTTGCCAAAAATAGACATTTGTAATCTTACTAGATTTGGCTACTATAATTGTTCGGCAACCACAAACCGTTCAAAGCAGGTTAGATATTTCGTTTAAAGGCAAGATAAATCGTGATAACATAATATTTACATGTTGATCATTGACCTGAGAAAGTTACTGGGTATCCGCTTATTTTGCGGAAATGATATGCACATGCAATATATTCATTCCGCAGTCATTTTTTCATTCATTATTAAAATTATTTGAAACGCTCTCAAACTCTCATATTTTCCGACTTTGATCTCGAGACGTACGTCGGCAAATTTCAGGTAATTTTTACGTTTTCACGTTTGTTGTATTTCATAGATTACTCTCTCTATAGCAATCTCTTCACTAGGTATTTGAAGTGGGATGTAACATTCTCATAATTTTAGTGTAAATGAGGAGCTACAAAATATTTTTATTTTTCCAAAAGAGCAATCTTCTGAAAAATTATAAGTAGAAAATCGCGGTATTATTTTTAGAGGTGCAAACTTATATATATAGGTCTAACGTTATGTTAATTATTTACTCTTTTTTTTTAAGTTATGTTAATTATTTACTTTGGCATCGGTAACAAGCACTAAATGCGAAATCGAAAACAAAATATTTTTACTCCTCCGTTTGAAATTATTTCCATTAATCTACTATTAAAATAATCAAATTCAAAATTCTTCTAGGTGCATATTTGTCTTTTCAAAATTTATATGCCAGCGGTCGTTAAGTCGAGTTTGTTATACATAATTAGATGTAGTGTGTACGTCTCTCGTACAATTTGCAAGTTATTATACGAGAGTGTAGATTTATCCAGTCATAAATGAAAAACAATTCAAATAAAATAATGTTTATCCCATAAGGAAAAGCCAAAATGACTGAAGTCATATATAAAATAACAATTCAAATTATAAATTAATAGACGTTGGATGGAATAAAATCAATGGCTAAGGTGCTAAAATAGTAGTTGGCATTTATGACAATTTGGTCAAAAAAATTAAAAACTATGTGTTGGGATGACATTGTGATTAATTGCTATAATAAGAGATGAGATCGAACACAATCACTTCTTATACATACTTCACAAAATTATAATCTATAATTAAATATACAATATATATATATATATATATATATATATATATATATATATATATATATATATATATATATATATATATATATATATATATATATATATATATATATATATATATATATATATATATATATATATATATATATATATATATATATATATATATATATATATATATATTTTTTTTTGTGAGTATTTGTATATGTGTGTTTTTGTTTTTTTTAGAAAAAAAGAGGAGAAAAAAATAAGAGAGATTTTTTTTTTTATATTTTTTTTTTTATAAAAATGTATATATATATATATATATATATATATATTGATATTGTTATATATTTATAAATAGAAGTATGTGTGTGT